GGGAATAGAGTGCCTTTACCATTAAATGTGGACTCCCATCAGACCAGACAACGGAAGTCTGCACTCCCCCCAAACAGTATATGGGGAGGGATTTCACTGGAGTGTGGTCTGCTTGGATCCAGGGCAATGCACTAAGATCCTTTGGACCAGCAAACTCCCCTGGTACCTTTAGGATGTGGCTAGATTTATAAATATTTGATTGGCACACACTCTGCTGGAGAACATTTCCATCTGTGTGGTGAATGGTGCCGAGGATCCCCCTCTCCTACCCCCAGTCTCCTTTCTACGTGCTGGGGGGATGTTGGGGGGGGTTGTGGCCTCCACAAGGAGGCTGGAGCTTAGGGATGGTCAGGAGTGTGCCATTCCTGTCTCTACAGCTGCTATTCCAGTTGTTGATCTCATGGAAGAGTAAGTCCTGGCATGCCTTCTCCAGAGAGGAAACTCCGGAGGAGAAGCAGACAAGCGTAGAACTCTTTGCCTTGGTGGCCTCTGTGCCAGGGAAGTTAAATGGGAAGTACCTGATGGGCTATGGCTTGGGCAGACTGTGGCTCTGTGCCCAGTTGCAGGAGTTCCGATTGAGACAGCCCCAGAGAAGCTGGGGTGTAAAGTCACTGAAAGTACTGTGAACACGTTTAACATTTATTGAATGGCCAGCTATCAGTCCTAGGGAGGAAGGCAATGACAACCACGGAGAATGTCACCCTTTTGGACATTTAGGTGCCTGACAGTGTGCTTGCTGGACACCCTCAGAAACATCATATCTCACATCCCTACTATCTAGTGATATAGATAACTGTTAGCATGCTTGTTTTCAAAACAAGGAAACTGAGGCACAGAGAGGAAAAGTGACTGCCACAAGGTAAACCTGGTAAATACAGTAAGAAGACATCAGTCTGTCCTTGCCTGTCTGTACCATGTGATAGGATAAACACACCAATGTAATTAGTTTCTGGGTTAGTACCAGGGTGCTGGGATCCTCAGGGAAAGCAGGTTAGTATTAGGACAGAGAGATAGGCTCCACACACTGTCCCTGTGAGGAGATGGTCACATCATGTTAGCTTTTGGGTTTTCAGCACGATGGTTACTTGTGACCTCCAAGGTCTGATGTTAGCTGGAAATGACTATGCAGGGCCTAGCATGTGTCAGTGCTTGACCAGCATTTCTTGAGATACTGTTGGATTTAAATCTCTCTGCCAACAATACGAGTCCGTGGTTCATCAAATTAAATGCTCACTGGGTACTTAACCAAGGGACAGTCAATATGCTGGACACAAAAGCCACAGCATGGAGCATCAAGAGCCAGAGTCCTTGTCCTCAGGGGGCTCTGCAGGAGAGAATCCAGTAAATAAACAGACAAGTAAATGCAGAAGTGTAGCGGCAAGGAGTGAGGCACCGGTCTGTGGCATCCCTCACACATCCCTGTCCAAAATGGACTTTCAGCTACTTGTCTCTCAGGACCAGCCTTCTGCTGTCAGAAGCTACCTTTTCACATACTGCATCTCCATGGATCTCAGAATCTGCTGTCACCAATGTCATGCTCATCTCTACACTGTGTCAGTGTAGCTAGTGTTATATTATGTACAGATGACTGCCTGCAGCTATGTCCCAAGTCTTGGTGAAGCCACAAGCTCACCACCAGGCTCCTTCTACAGCAATTCGGTTGAGACATTTTACTTAAATCTATTTTAGGATAGTCAGTGCACAGCATCCTCCAGAGGTTGAGGCCATGGATAAGGTACCTGGGAACTGTGTCTCCCAAGGGTAAGACAGACAAATTTGGGTAATCTCCTTACTCTGACCACAGCATGTCAACTCACTGAGGACAAATAGATACTGTGAAAGGAATTAGTTTTGTGTCTTGCAGGGCCCCAAAGCAAGTTGCATTTTGTGGCTTTTATAATTTACCTAAGTATCTGACTGGCTTTTAGGGGTGCTCTTCCTTCAGGAAGCTTTGGAATATGGCTCTGCCTGTTTCCACAGCCTCTCATTATGCTCAGACCAATGATCAAAGACTAGAACTCCCAATTGGCAGACTGTGTGTGTATGTGTATTATACCTCTCCAAGGCTTTCATTCCAAACTGCCCAAAGCTGACTGGTTCTCGGAGGCCCGAGGTTCTGAACAGTAGTGCCGACGCTAGGCAGAAGAGGGCGACAGATCCACACTCAGGGAGAGCTCCCATGCCTGGATTGCCCTCTGTGGCAGGCTGATTGGTACTGTGAGGGCCACAGAGTGAGGCTAGCACTCGAATTCCACAGGGGGAGGAAGTTGAGTCTCAATGAGATGAAAAGACTGCCCCAAATTAGGCCTCTGGGGACACTGGAGATTAGAAGTCTCATTGGACAACTTGAAGCTTCTCTCCCAGAGCACTTCACGCAAAACAGAGAGAATCCTAATTGTCTGGTTAGTAAGTGGCAGGGTAGGGCATGAGCACCAGCATTCCAGGGCCCTGACAGCAGAGGGTAGGCACGTTGTCCATTGTGGTTTCAACTGGTCCAGGGTAGATTGCTGCCTACTTACTGCAGGATTGACGTCTGTCCCCTTGGTCCTTGTTCTTTGTTTCAGAGTAAGCACACAATAAGCTCATATAACTGCTTTGAAGGTTGGCAGAGATGTTCTGAGTTAAAGCCTCAATCCAGCCCTTTGTTTCAGGTTGTGTATCCATACACTGCAGGAGGTTTGTAGGCTGTGGGTTGTAACAGCAATGTGCTGAACCGTTACTCTGGGCCAGGCAGGCACTGTACCCAAAACGGTTACTATATTATTTCATTTAACTCTCCCAAGAAACCTGTGATCAGTATTCTCACTTTTTCATTTAGAAAAATAAGGCCTGAAAATGTGTGCCTAAGTTCACATGACACATGCTCCTGAGCAATGTTGGGTTCCCAAGGCTTCTGACAGCTTGAGCCCTATAGCCAAATCCCACCACAAGCTGTCCCAGTATGACGCACCCAGAGACACCCTATTCTGTTAATGATAGAATGATCATAGTGAAGGCGCATGATATTTGTCCAGAAACTCAGGATTGTAGGTTCCTGTTGTGCTGAAGTTTAGGTTTCGAAGAACTAGGCAAATCTTAAAAGAAGCATGTCACTTCGATTGATTGCCCATTGGTTCAGAAAGTTGATCAGACTAAGTCTAAACATTTAAAGTTAGAGGAATTAAAGCTTGATCCCCTGAGCTGTGTTACTATATTATACTATATTGCTTTCTGGGGAAGGAGGAGACAAAGCGGTCACACATCCCAGTTACATGTGCATCTGAGACTGCACGGAGGAGTATCTCTGAAGCCACCACTCTACTGAGTCTGTGAGGTATGGTACCGACACCAGGTACAATTAAACATCTAACACACAAGCCATCCCATCAGCAGTGTATAGTATAATGGGGTATTTGTCATGTGAACTTGGACACAAACTTTCAGGTCTTATTTTTGTGATTAAGACATGAGAATACTGAACACAGGTTTCTTGAGAGAGTTATATGACATAATACAGCAATACAACCTTTGCTTCTGACTATTCTCGCCTGTACCTTCTGAGTGTTGAGATCCTAGGTGGGTGATACCACGTCCAGTTTTTCTATTGCTGGGCCTCCCATGTTAGGCAAGTACTCTGGGCTACATACAGCTTTGGCACAAACTTGGTTTGTTGCTTTTTTTTAATGTTCTAGAATCTCTCTCTCTGTCTCTCTCTCTCTGTCTCTGTCTCTCTCTCTCTCTCTCTCTCTCTCTCTCTTTCTCTCTCTCTCTCTCTTTCTCTGGCTTATTCTGGTACCTATTCTTCATAGAGTAGAAACCTGTAGGAGGCCTGCTTGAAGACAAGCTATCAAAACAAAACCCCCAAATCATAAGCCTGTGCCAGCTGCAAGCCGGAGTGCCTGCCTTTTGGGGGAAGGAGGAGACAAAGCCATCACCCATCCCAGTTACATATGCCTCTGAGGCTGCGCGGAGGGGTTTCCCTGAAGCCATTGCACTGGCCCTGCAAAGTGTAGTACCCACACCAGGTACAAATAAACATCGACCACACATCAGCAGTCTGCATCCCACTTTCAAGCCCGTCCCATAGAACCTTGCTTCCACCTGTGTTCTCTCTGTCTCCTGACTTCACTCCTTGGTTTCTTCTCTTAGCTTGCAGCATTTCTGGCTCTTGAGATTGCTGTTCCTCTAAGCAGAGATCAAATCTGACTTTTGGCTTCCCTACAACATCTAATACCCTAGTGGTACTCAGGGAATGTCTGACTCTTAGTAGAAAGCAGATACCTACACACACACACACACACACACACACACACACACACACACACACCAGCACTAGAAGTAGTGAGTAGGTAGTTTCTTTCCCCTAAGTCATACCTCCATTTATCAACGAGGTCTGAAAGCCAGGCTGCTAGGAAAGCCCAGAATTGTCAGCCTCTGGCTCTGTGGCTCTCATCTTTGGCTCCATTAGTGTCTGGAGAATGACTTTACCCCTCCTGCACAGCACAGCCACATCTGCACACTGTGCTGCAGGAGAGCTGCATAATTTATAATGTGTTAGTCTGCGGTTGGAGACTAGGATTCTCAAATCAAGCCCAGTGGAGACATCACCTGGAGAATCTGTTAACTTGAAATTGAAGCCATATCTTTGTTCAGGATTTCCCAACCCTGCTCATCAGGTTCTTCCCATTGTGGAGTGAATAGGCCCTTGTCTGGCTGGGGTTGGGGGGGGAGGACCTTATGTTAGTTTATAAACCTGGGGGTGGGGAGCAGTGATTAAATTCTGCCAAAAGTTATATCAGGTCAGCAGAGAATCCTTCCAAAAGTTTGCAGTGAGATGTAATTAGCTAAGGGTAGCCCACAGTTCCTCATCTTCCAAAGCCAGCCCCTTGGTATATGTGCGTTACCTTACTTCTCAGTGCATTCTGCCTACATAGAGCCTTGGAAAACCGATTCCTGCCCCCCTCCCGTGCTGGACTAGGGAAGACAAAAACCCATTGAGTGTAATTCAAATGGCTGCTTACTGTGCTGGTCGCTCCTGTCCCTTGTCCCATCCACTGTGCCGTCGGGAAGGATCCTCAAGAAGTGGCCCCCGTTGCTGCAGTAGAGTAGTTTGGGTTTTTTGTAGTTTCCTAGAGGCAGATTGAACCTCTCGGTCAGGGCTGTGAAGGTTGTGATCTCCCCTTCGGCCATGGCTCAGCAGCAACCGGTGATGGTACGCTAGGCACTGAAAGAAATGAAACGCACCTGTAGACCGTTCTTCCAGTGAAGGTGTGATGGACATAGTCAGGAAGAGAAGGGTCACTCGAGGCCACAGACTGCTCAGGTGATACCCAAAGTGGATAGGTCTGTGGGGTGGCCGGTAGTAGAAGAAGGGATGGTTCCTGGCCTGAGAGGTTTTCAAGCCAATTCTCTCTTCTCAATTGGGCACAACCTTGCAACAAACTAGATTTTTTTTTTCGAGACAGGGTTCCTCTGTGTAGCCTTGGCTGTCCTGGAACTCACTCTGTAGACCAGGCTGGCCTCGAACTCAGAAATCCGCCTGCCTCTGCCTCCCAAGTGCTGGGATTAAACATGTGTGCCACCACCGCCCGGCTAACAAACTAGATTTTTTCCATTTTTTTTTTTAAGAACTTCAAGTTTAATCATTTGGTCAAAAAGAAAAGCAATATAGTATTATGTCTTGGTCCCTCCTTCTGGTCTACACACATCTTCAAATTAAAGACTCAAATTGCACTAAAATAACACCTGGGCTAAAACCCACAAAAGCCAAGAGGCCACGGCTGAGGTTTGCTTTCCACCCTCACACTGTTTTGACTAGGTACTGCCAAGCCAGAGGGGGGCAGAGGTCACAGAAGGCCTGGACGTTTGAGCACCTGTGAACCAAGGGTGCTGCAGGGCCAACAAAGGGTTAATATGTATGAAGACTGTCTAAGTTTGCTGGAGGAAGGAAAGGATGCAGAGAAGGGAAGGAAGAAGAGAAGAAGGGCTTGGGGCTTTTAAAAGGAAGCATTGCACCAAGGACACTTTCTGAGACAGAGCATTTGAAGGCTGTGCTTGGCCATAGTCTTTGTCATAGTCTTCCACAGACCCTCTTATCACATGGTGAACTCAGGTCTGTCCTTGTGTCCAGACCATCTTCCCTTAATTGTTTTCTAATATAATCTGTACACAGATATAGCTAATTTAATATACACTAAACTATAATATATAGACATATACTAATATAACATTTTATATTATATATATAGTATATAAATTCATAGTGGTATAAAATATATCAATTATTGACACAGGATACTTGAAAACAAAATCAATAAGAGAGAGAATTTTAAGCCATGTATTTGCCCAACCACTTAGGAGAAGAAAGTTCTAAAAGCTACAAAGACAGTGAAAGTTCTTTGTTTTAATTTGTTTGTTTAAAGAAGAGCATGGAGCTATATATATAGATAAATAATGTATATTATGGTGGTTTTATAATAACAATGATTAACAGTGATCATCATCAACAACATATTTTGTGCTGAAGATAATATTTATTAATTTAACCACAATCTTTTAATGTGGATCCTAATACTCCCATTATAAAAATTAAAACAGGGGCTGGAGAGATGGCTCAGCAGTTAAGAGCACTGACTGCTCTTCCAGAGGCCCTGAGTTCAATTCCCAGCAATCACTTAATGGCTTACAACCATCTGTAATGGGATCCAACGCCCTCTTCTGGTATGTTTGAAGACAGTGACAGTGTACTCACATACATAAAATAAACAAACAAAAAAAACCTTTAAAAAATCTTTAAAAAAATTTAAAAAAAGCTTGGAAGTGTTAAATTGCTTGTGTAATGTCAACAACAAGAAGGTAAATCTCATCCTGGCAGTGGTGGTGCACACCTTTAATCCCAGCACTGGGGAGGCAGAGGCAGGTGGATTTCTGAGTTCGAGGCCAGCCTGGTCTACAGAGTGAGTTCCAGGACAGCCAGGGCTACACAGAGAAACCCTGTCTCAAAAAGAAAAAAAAAAAAAAGAAAAAGAAAAAAAGAAAAAAAAGAAAAAAGAAAAGAAAAAAAGAAAAGAAAGAAAAAGAAAGAAGATAAGTCTCAGGATGAGTCAGGGAACACAAAGCCCCAGTTTACACTTAATTGCAGAGGTTACATGATTTCATTGATATGAAAGGCTTGTCCCTCAGGGAACCCAGAGCGATTGGGACCAGAAGTGGGGATTTTACCCATTGCATCAAATGTACACCAGCTCCTCTGAACTTGTCTTTTAGCTTACCATCATGATCGAAATCTCCAGCAACCTCTTTTTCATCTGATTCCTGCTCTCTCTGTAGCAGGATTCCACATAGCTGCTCAGTCCAGAAGAAACTCATGCCAGTGGTCAGCCACAACCCCACATCCCATGCCCTACCAAGTCCTGCGTAAGTACTCATGGGAAACTATTCCATCATCAACCAAAGCATCCACCTGGATATCTTATCTTTGTGACCAGAATCAGAGCCTGAATTGGAAGCATCTACCTTTTTATCTCTACTCTTTGTAAATTTTCCTACTCTGCAGTCCCACAGGCCAGTTATTGACTTCAGTTTCAGCTACTGTTTGGGATGCCCTTGCAAAGATACTCCCCCAATTTAAATATACATATGCTTTCAAAGACAGATTATCACAAAGGCTCCTCAACAAAAATGGTGCAACATTGTTCTTGCCACACAATACAGTAAGATACAGAAAATGTGTGTGTGTGTGTGTGTGTGTGTGTGTGTGTGTGTGTGTGTTTAATATCAGCTGCAGAGGAAGGGTTTGCCTTGTATCACATATTGTGTTTTCCTTGCAAATTCTCAATATTTTCCTTTTTCAACTGTTTTCCCTACTCTCATTCCTTACTCTGCTTCTTTCTGAATCACTTTATTGTTTTCCCCTGAGAAGTGCTGGGGATAGAGTCTCCAGCATATTAACTTGTTTGTTTTGAGGCAGAGTTTCTCTGTGTAGCCTTGGCTACAACTTACTTTGTAGACCAGGCTGGCCTTGAACACATAGAGATCTGCCTACCTCCTCAGTGCTGGGATTAAAGGCATGCACCACCACTGCCCAGGTCTGCATATTAATTTAACATGCACTGTACCACTGAGCTATACCCTAGCTCCCTGGATCCTCTATGATGTAAAGCAAATCGCTCTTTAAAGTGTGACTGATGCACGTGTCTCTCCGTTAGCCCATAGATTCTCCTTCCTTACAATGTCACTAAGAGATCATATAATTTTTTTTTTCATTTAGTTTTATCCCCAAGTATCCCCCACACTTCCTAAGTTGTGTACTTAGTTTTCTGTACAGGAAACAATAGCCACACTGGTATTAATCTTAGTAGAGTAGATCTTTCTTGTTGTCTCAGGGTCTCCTCCAGTGGTGGTTTCTGATTGTATTTCTTATACTTCCTAAGCTGTGTACTTAATTTTCTATACAGGAAACAATAATCATACACTAATGGCTACCACTGGTATTGTCAATCTTAGGAGAGTAGAACTGTCCTGTTATCTTCTCCAGTGGCAGTTTCTGTTTGCATTTACTCTGATATGGGCCAACTACATGTCAAGGATTGCCTTTCTTCAGTCCCAGCTAGAAGTGGCTGTTAGGTTGTTTTCAAAGCTCTGGGCATGGATTTGGCTCTTCCTGCCTGTATCCTTGCCTCTATCAATTGGGATGAAGATGAACAGTTAGATACACCAGAAGGCTGGATGGGGTTAGAGGTACCAACTCTGGCTAAGGATTATACTAATGTTCTCATTTTCGTGTGTGTATAAGTCATGTAGTTTGAATGTTATCTCCTCAGAACCTTTAACAATTCAGTGACATTGGCCAGTACCCAGCAGGTCCTTCTGGTCCTTCTGGAATGCAGTGAGACTTGTGGTATCTACAGTTCTTTATTCTCTGCCTGCTTCTCCTGTAAGCAGGGCAGTCTTGGGATAGCTATACAGTTCGTATGCTTCCCTCTACTAACCCTGTAGCTCGAATTTGCACACGAATGCTGAAAGGTACATGTTGCCTCCTTAAAATACGCCTGCGTGTCGCTCTGCTATGGAGCTGCTGGCTGTGGCAGGTGGATTTATGAATCATCTGAAGCCAGAGAGTGAAGCATGGAAAACCTCCTATTCTTAATTTTATTTACAATTTATCTGTTTTGAGAATCGGACAGTCAATTCTTTGGCTAATCCATTGTTTGCTAGTGGATCTGAATAAAGGAAGTATATGGTGTGGCAAAAACTATAAGGCAGCAACATTAACAGGTCCCCGGAAATTTACACAAATTGCTTCCATAAATGAATTCATCAACTAAGTGAAATCAAGCGCTAAGTATAGTATGGATTTGCAAGCCCTGCTTTTCATTACTATTGTCTGGCATAGTGGCTATCTGGAGAGGGGATTTTCTGTGTGGGAGATGGGGAAGATCAAGTTCACTGGACGGCCTCTCATCCTTTTACAGCAAGCCAGCTCCTGGATTTGAGACACTGCTGAGATTTTAGGAAAGCCAGATGATTGTCTTGGTTTGCTAGTGACAGAAAGGTAAGAGGAACACTAAACCAATGGGAATGTGCATGTTAAAGCTGACAGTCAGTCAGGTGTGGCCTCTGGATCAGACACAGGAAATGGGGAACTTATAGCCTTGTCATTTCTCCATGTGGGATACCAAGTATCTACTGTACAGCCCTGGGCATGAACAGATGGACGGTGGAGGGTGTTGCTGTGCCACTCACCCAGGAGATGTTTCTTCTAATGATCCCCATGCTACCTGCAGCACAGAGTCCTCTAAAGGGTTAATCAAACACAACATTCAAAAAGCACTTGGAAAGGCATAAAAATGTGACCCAACCTGTTAGGCATAAGAGCAGATGGTTCTGTTAAACTGGTTGAAGCCTGGTATGATCTGGGCTAAGCTGTATTTAAGATAGTTTTTTATTATCTTCCATATGTGGCATAAATTAGCTAAGATTCCCTCTTATTAAATCATAAAGGTGATAACAGAGAAGATGAAGGAGGCAAAGATTAACTGTTGTGTAATGGGGAATTCAAGTCATTGTTGCAGATTCAGATATGGGCATTGGACAGTTATGAAAGTGACTCTTGGGGACTGGAGGAAGGTTTATAGTTCTGAGAGCCAAAGACAGACAAACATTGACACCTGTAAATCTGTTTTATCCCCTGTTGCTGTTTACATAACAGAGACTATCCATGTACAAAAGCATTTTGCAATCTGCATAAGGCCATTAAAAATAGTGGGTTTCTATTAAGGGAGTCCTCAAACCTAGCACATATAAAACAGGACTTAGCTTTAGTTCTATATACTGTTCATGTCTCTATAAATGAAACCACCCAGAAGCCTTAGTACTACCCCTAGAGATGTTATCTCACTTTAGATTTTATTAAGTCAGATATGTATGTTAAATGTTAAAAAGAAATAAAATGCATTTTCAGCTAACAGCTAGTAGGGGTTAGAGGGATGAAGCAGAGTAGGTAAAACTGCATTTGTATAAATTATCCAGAAAAAAAATTAGAAAGTTTAAAATGGTATTCAAAAATAGATGAATAAAATCAATCCAAACATATTTATAACTATAATAAATGTAAATGGACTAAATTATTTAGCTAGGAGCTCTTTAAAATCCATGTAGTCATATGTATTTTGATTACAAGAGACACATTTAAAATATAAGCATACAGAATGGTTAAAGCAAAAAGGTAAAACAAATAAACCAGCTTCAGTGGCAGGCACACTATGGACAAGTCAGCAAGACTCAGTCTAAAAAAAAAAAAACAAAAAAAAACCAACCAAGTGGAATGAAGGGGCAGCTTATATGTGGGAGAAAATTCTTATGAGTTGACAAATGACTTGTCAACTGTCGGAAGATTAATATCTAGAATATATAAAGAACTCAAAAAAGTTAAATAAGGGAAAACAGCCTCAAAATATGGACTAAGGAACTAGCCAGAGCGTTCTCAACAGTAGAAATACAGATGAGCAATCACTTTTAAGAACTGATCACCACTCATAGCCATTAGGGAGATGAAAGGGAAAACTACTGTGAGATCCATCTCACCCCAGGCAGAATGGCTGTCATCAAGAGAACAAATGGGAACGTGCTGGTGAGGTGTAGGGAAAGGGGAACCTTTAGTGACAGTTGATAGGACTGGAAATATAGTTGATGACAACATAAACCACAGCAGGACTGTGGCTATCTGTGTGGACGCTTCTCAAAAAGGCGAAACTACAACTCCCAGGAATATGGCCCAGCTACATCATTCCTGAGCATATAGCCAAAGCACTCTTTTGACCCAGCTACACCATTCCTGAATATATAACCAAAGCACTCTTATGTCCTATGGCAGAGTCACGTGCGCCGCCAAGCTCACTGCTGCTGTATTCACAATAGCTATGAGATGTTAATAGCCTAGATGTTAATCAGCGATGAATGGATATCAAAAACGAACATTCGCCAAAGGGGATTTTGTGCACCCATAAAGAAAGGAGAAACATAAAGTTTACAGGAAAAATGGATGGAATTTGAAAATATCACATTAAGTGAGATAACTGGGGTTCAAAAACAATGTGTTCTCTCTGATATGGAGATCCTATCTTCTAATTTTTGTGTTATGTATATTTATGTGAGCATGAGTGTGCATAGAGACTAAACAACTAGAAAGAGGGTCATAGGAGGGGACAAATAGGCTTTAGGGGAGAGGGAAGGTGACAGAACATATGTAGGAGTGGAAGGAAGGGTGCTGGGAATGGGAGGTTTAGGCAGGTATAAGGGGGAGGGAGGTAGAGAGGAGAAGGTTCAGGTAAGGTCAGCCCAAGATAGGCATGTAGAGCAGAGCCATGAAGAGCGACTGGGTAGAGGACTCTGTCAGTAAAAGCCTGGTGCTTAAGGATGAAGCCATGCACTCTGATCCCTGGCATCTATGAAAACACATGGAATGGAATCTGTAATTCTAGGGCTGGTGAGGCAAAGACAGGCAGGTTCCTGAGGCTCAGTGGCCAGCCATTGAGTGAGCTCCAGGTTCAATGAGAGATGCTGTCTCAGAAAACAGTACAGAATGATGGAGGAAGACCCCCAGTGCTGACTTCTAGCCTATGACTACCTGCGTACACAAACATGTACCCATACCCCACACACACATATTCTCTCTCTTTCTCTCAAATAAGTATTTTAAATTTTTAAACATGATAGACAAATAATAATAAAAGGTTAAAAGTTGCCCAGTTACATTAGTATGAAATAAAACAATTGCAAAGTAAAAAGAATGATTAAAAACATCATTCCATCAAAGGAATCATCGAGCAGTGATAAATGGAAAAATTCAACAGATAGACTTGAAATTTCCGAGTTCATGTATATCTGATGACACAGCTTCAGTGTATTCAAGGTTTAAAAAAAAAAACAGACCAAGAAGTTGATAACCTCACAATGATGAGAATCTTTGGCTTACCTTTGCCTTGGACAATAGTACCAATCGATAAACCTACAAAGAAAGATGCAGATGATGGAACGGCATGACCACCGTTGAACTGAATAGCTGTCTGAGAAGATCTTCACTTACCAATAAAGTGACCACCATTACTCTCAGAGATCCATGGGATATTTACCAAGATTGCAAAAGCAAGACTCAACCCAGATAGAAGCATTTGTTTTCCCAGACTCTTGTTTGAATAGAAACCACTCCCACCCATCAGATGGTGGCAAGGCCCTCTCACCTTTCAAAGTTCCCAAGCAGCTTCCTCTTCTCTCCACCTGCCCATGCCGACCCCACGCAACTCCCACCTGGATAGCTGTGGCCTGCGCAGCACACTGGTCTCTAACCTCTAACAACGCTCACTTGAGCCCTACTGTTCAGACCTCCCCACCTCAGAAACCTGAGAGTTGCTCCTTCCAGAAGATGTTTGGCTTGGCAGACTTCTGCTGCCTTTAGGAATAAGTGTAGATTCCTGTCTTGGCCTCTGCGGCTTTCATGATCTGGTCTTTGCCTAACTCTCACCTTGTCTTACCGGCCTTTTAATTCCTTTCCCTCCCCCTTTATACTCTTCCAGCCCTTATCCCAAACCCGACAGCAGCAGGCTCTTTCTCTCCTCCACTGTATCCCAGCCAATCATAGTGTCCCCTCAAAAATTCAGCTTCACAATTCCTGCTCCAGAAAGCTCTGTGTAGACACACTTCCCAACCTTGACTTCCCCAAAACTCGTCCACTCCATACACACACCAGGTCAGATGCTGGTTCTTTGGGCTCCTTCAGCAGCAGTGAGTGTCACTGCCAACTGTGTTCCACGGTCACACTCCTCCAATGCATTCCTGCTGCTGTGGTAAGCACCAAAACCTTGCTACAGCCTGCTGGAAGCCCAGGCCTTGGTTTCCCTTGCCTCATCTCCTATCCGGAGTCCTCTGCAAACCTGCCTTCTACTTCCTAGAGATTACTGCCCTTCCTCCCACCCTGGGCCACTTGTCCATGCCCTTCTCTCCGTCTGAAACACTTTCCTTTTCCCTCTGCCCCACCTACCTGGTTAACTGGTCGTTTGTCTTCAGATCATAGTTCAACCAACAGTTCTTTCAGAAAGCCTTTCCTGACTTCTCAGAACTTAGCCTGGCTCCTCCTGTCCTCACAGGACCACCTCCTATTCCTTTGGAAATCCTACATCAGTTTTTAATTACACCTCCATGCTCGTGATTATTTAATTAATATTTCCCTTCATGACTGGGCTGCCAGCTCCATAGAGGCAGAAACTGTTCTGTCTTGCTCACCATGGCGTCCCAGAGCCTGGCAAGACGCCTGGCACCTAACGGGCCCTTGACAAATATTTGTAGATTGAGTGAGTGAATACAGTTTAACTAGCTCTTGACTGCCTGCTTCCTTAGTCTCTGGAGCTCAGAGATGGAGCCACTGACTTCTTCTGCCTCCAACACTTGGCAGATATCTTTGTCTGTTTGTCCCAATGGAAACATGTTATCAGGAGGCATAATGAACAGGTGCTGACCTGCAGCTATTGACAGAGAGCCTGAGCCAAGAGTCTTATGTGATTTTAATTGCAATCATATTACACAGGAAACTCCTTCCGTAGAAGCAGACCCCGAAGTCTGTTCCCACCTGTAATTATTATTTTCTTACTTCTTCAGAACAAATACTATATGAAAATTACTGAGTCCAGATGGATGAGAACCCTTATCTGGAGGTCTAGATTCCTTATCTGACCAAGAAAATGTGTTGATAGTGCCTGAAGAAGGATTTCAGCTCTCCTTATTTCTCACAGAGTTCCGAGGCAGGCACACCCTCTGTGAAGGAAAGTTGGCTGTGGGCATGGAGACAGCATGTTCCCAGCTCTCTTCATTTCTCCTGCTGTGGCCTAGGTGCTCTGCACGGATGCGAGTGTGACCTGGCTGGCTGGCCTGGGTTGGCATATCAACCTGCTGTCTCTAAGCCAGTTCCTTCCATGAGCTGAAATCCTTTTTCCACCATTGACAGTAAACTGTGTACTCAACTTTGGGGGTGAACTTTGACCAGAGTATTCAGGAGTTAAACCCTTCAAGTTCCTGAAAAATCATAGCCCAGGCAGAAATCATACTGCCTTCTGTTAAACCATCATTGGTAGAGTAATTATACAATAGAAATGGCTGCATAAACAAGACTGGATCCATGGCAATATCAATGGGCATGTTAATGGGGAAGGGGGGAAATTGCATGGGGTCCCACCCTAGACAAAGAACTACAGTCAACTAGTGACTTCTGGGAGGAGAAGTACCCTCTCCCAGGGATGAGCCCCCTTACTGGCTGCCCATTGTAGAGTGGCCTTGAAGCTATATATACAAACAACAAAACCAGACCCAACAAATTATATTTATATATGTGCATAAATATACATTTATGTGTATGTAACAATAATAAAGAAAAGGAGGCTGTCCACTTGAGTGGTGGGAAGAAAGAAGGGGTTGAGGGAAGGTACCTGGGAGGGGCTGGAGGGAGAAAAGAGGGGAAAGTAACTAATTCTATTTCAATTTAAAAAATACATATTTTTAAGTATTCTGTTCTTTCTCCTCTTTCTACCCATTCCCTACCTGATTTACCGGTGTACCATTTGACTTGAGCTCAGATCTTGCTGGACACTCATTAGCAAACTATTCTTTCTTGCAGATGCTTGTTTCCAATAACCATGGCTGCTGTGCTAGTCACTATGAATCTTAACCTACGATGCATCCAAGTGCTTAGCCTGACTCTAGGGAACTTGGAGCATTTGGTTGTTGCTAACTTGACTCACTGTGCACACCCTCATATTGTTGATTTAGAAGGGGAGGAACTTGAGTCTTAACATTTAGAGGTACGTTGGCAGTGCTCGGAAAGGGCCTTTCTGCTAGATTGGAATGTTCTGTCGTCATTTACATCCAGCGATGTTTTCTTCTCAGTTGCTTAGATCAGTGGCTCTCACTCTTTCCAATACTGCAATCCTTTAATTCAGCTCCTCATGCTGCAGTGACCCCCCCAACCATAAAAGCATTTTCATGGCTACTTCATAATAGTAAGTTTGTTACTGTTATGAATCATAATGTAAATATCTGATATGCAGGATATCTGATAGGCAACCCCTGTGAAAGGGTCGTTTGACCCTCAAGAAATCTCGACCCACAAGTTGCAAAACACTGAGTTAGATGGCTATGATGCACAGTCAGGGGCTCTCTGTGAATTCGTGGGTTTGAAGTTATGTTGTCCATGATGACAGAGAGCCTAAGTAGTTTTACTAGTTTTCCTCTCCATTCTTTTCGGCACTAGGGACTGAACCCAGTCTCTCCTGAATGCTAGGCAGGTTGTCTACTACTGATCTTCATTCCCTGCCTCCCCTCCAGCTCTTTAGGAGCCCTCTGATCCCAAGGAGTTCACACGTTACTAGACATACTGTTCCTGAGCTTTCAGAATCAAATACTTGGGGGGCATCACGACGACATACTTCATGTGTCAGTAACTTCTATTGGTCACATGCCATGGAGAGAATGCTGTAGATGACCTGGGAATTTAGAGAAAGAAAGGAAAAGAGAACCTCCCCCACACCAAGTCCCTAATTCCCAACCCCCAATCTTAAAAAACTAGAAGTACTTTCATAACTCTGGCCAAGCTCTCTACAGCCTTTTTCAAGTCTTTGTTTATTCATTTATTGTTAACTTCTATCTGATTAACTATACAATTGCTATTATGTTTGATTAGGGGACTGTGTCAGATCCCATTGGTGTTGTTCCGTGATGTATGACAGATGTACAATCCCAACTCCATTAAAAGAATCTTTCAAGATCAGGTTTCTTCATGTAGCCGTGACTAACCTGGATCTTGCTATGTATGCCAGGCAGGCCATGAACTCACAGAAATCTGTTTGCCTCTGCTACCTGAGTACTGGGATAAAAAGCATGTATCACTGTGCTTTCTGCCCTCAAGGTGGCTTAATCAGCCCTGACAGACTCAGCCAGGCTCCAGAGAAAGCCATTGTTGCCCGGACCAAGTGCAGCTGGCAAGAAGTGAGACTGTCATCTCATCCAGGTGTATCAGCCGGCAGCTCAGCCTCAGCCTTGTATATCTCCACAGAGACGGATGCACTCCCTCCCCACAAGGGTCTTCTCCGACATCTTTCATTTCTCCCTCCATTTGAGACCTTTTATCTTCTGCAGTCTGGTTTATTCACCCTCCAACCTCCTCCCCACCACAAGATCATCATCCAACCGGAGGTCAGACATTCTTTTAACTGCCTGCAGAGATCCACACAGAGAGGAAAAGCAGAGGCTGCCTGGCGCAGTGGTGTGCTCTGTTGGCCCCAGTTCTGTCTGAATTTTAATGGGACGCTCTGGTCCAGAGTGTCCTGAAGACCTGTGTACATCTTAAACAGAAAGATCTTTCCTGTAGACTGATGCATTAAAGCCAGGGCTCAGAGCCAAGTGTTAAGTGATTCTGCAGGGGTTCCTGCAGCCCTCAATCTTCTTCCTTCAACCTCCTCTTACTGATGTGTCTCCAAAAATCTTTTTAATGTTGTGCAACTTTACAGTTTCTAGGACGGGCCCAGCAAGGACATTCCTTTCTTCAAGTCAGCTGACTTCCCTGCTCTTTGGAAGATGGTGCTTGCAGAGTCTCTTCTCCTGCCTGCTTTCTACCCCCACCTGCTCCTGACCTAGAAATCTTAACATCTTCAAACTCAGTCTTTTGACAAGAGTGCTTGTTATCTATTTGGACTAGCTAAAGCCTTGCCCTACCAAAGCATTACCCAATAGCCTGCCCTGGCTACAACCATAAACAGTAAATGTTCTTAGTCCAGGGTACCAGACATGGTCCTAAACATGCTGAATACATTAATTAATTTTCAAAGAAACTCTCTTACAGAAGCATTGTCCCACCCCCTTTTAACAAAGATGGTCAATGAATAGAGTAATATTTTCAATCCTAAAATGTATCCTGTCCCATTTTAGTGTTGAAAGCTTAAGATCTGAATGTAAGGTTTTCTGCTTCCAAAGTCTGTTCCTGTAATCACAGTTTGAGTGTGATCAGAACAAATGCTCTTTGTCCTGGGTGACCCTTCACCTTCTCTGTTCTTTGTACCCTCCCAGCCTTTGTGACTGTGTAGCCCCATAGACAGCATCAGAGAAGGGATGCTTGGTCTCCTGCAAGTTGCCCATGACAGCTGTCCCTTCCCATGTGCTGCAGTGACCACCTCCAGTTTGTTTCTCTTAGGCCTCAAAATGACCCAGGGTCATAGGATATCATTATTACCCTCATCAGCTGATAAAGAGGTGGGACAGGGCCAGAACCCACTTGGGAAAGAGCAGACCTTAGAGGTTTGGAAATGCCCTCACAAAGAGAGCATTCTCACACTTTAAGACTTGAATTTTGTTTTTTTTGTTTTTTTTTTTTTTTTTGTGGTGATGTTGACCCCTTTATGACTGGCAAGTTACTTGATCTTTCTGTTCCTCTGGTTATCTGGGACTGAGGATACAGCATAGTGGTAAAGGTCATGGTTAGCAGGTAGCCCAAGGTTCCATCTACAGCAGATCATAATAAAGAAAACCAGGAGTGCCAATCTTGTGACAGTGTCATAAGGAAACAGGACAAGGTTATATGTGAGTACACTGTAGCTGTCTTCAGATTCTGTCATCATTACAGATGGTTGTGAGCCACCATGTGGTTGCTGGGATTTGAACTCATGACCTCCGGAAGAGCAGTCAGTGCTCTTAACCACTGAGCCATATCACCAGCCCTGGTGGGTCGATTCTTAATTAAAGAGTTTCATGGAGTTTCATGGAGCACTTTGAGCAAATGAACTTCTCTCAGAGGCTCGTTTGGGTACTGTGTTCTACTTCTTCTGTGAGCCATACAAGTAGCCTATTTTTCTCAGCCGTAGACAGTTGTTTTGTGGAGGGATTGTACGTTTCAGCAAAGTAAACCTGTGTCTTAGCCAAGACATAAAGTCCTCACCCCCCTCAACATTTGTTTGTAATATTGCCTGGCTATTGGGCAGCCTCATTTTGGATAGCCCTGGCTCACTTAAAACAGTATGAAAATGAACGACAAAACTCATGTTTTGACCAGATAGATGCTATCTATGCGTCTCTGGAAGAGTAGGTGGCAGGGCTGCGGTGTGGCTGATGTTGAAGATGCTTGGGTACCAAGGGATAAATGAAAACCCATGGGGCTTGCTTACTTGCCAGTCTTTCTGGACCTTGAAAGAAAGCAGTGGAGACCCCTGCTGGGCCCT